GCTCGGGTGGTGCCGGGGCAGAGGGAACGGTCTGGTCCCGCCGCTCTCTGCCCAACGTCCTTGAAATACATGCGGTGCAGAGACTCAGGCTTACGGCTGAGTTTCCCGGGACCAGGGAATCGGGTGTTAATCGTCTACATCACATCGTTTCTTACTGCCAGCACGGGGAAAAAAAATCAGCCCTGAAACAAAGCGAAATAAATCGCGCAGCCTTCTTACTCGGGAAGTAGAAGGGGACATGTAGTGGACAGAGAGCGTGCGGATCACGCTCAGACCGACGCTGCAGGCAAAGGCAACGTACAGCGCCGCGTGAAGCCACCTAAAGTTTACGTTTGTGCTGTAGGAAAAAACGTTCCGTAGAGATCATACGTGCAGCTCAACCCCAGCTAAAACACTTTATCCGGGGGAAATTCCGGTTAGAGCTCAGTGCCGCAAATGTGGTTGTGTGTAGATGTGCGTTATATATATGTGTTTGTGTATGTGTGTGTGTGTGAGGGAGGGAGAGCGAGTGTGAGAAAGAAAGTAAATAACGAGAACAATTACAACGGACCGGTAATAAACAATTGCAATTGGGAATGGCATGAACTCTGTGCATTGGATTAACCTCGAATGACCTTACCGCAATTGTATTTATTTATCCAATTTCATAACAGGTTGCTACTGACAAAAAAAGAGATAAAAGTCAATGATCAACCACGCTTATTTTTTACCTTTTTTTTTTTTTAGAAATGCGGTTTAAAAAAAAATCGTGTCAATTTGTAATTATTTCATTGCTCAACACTGAAGTCAATGTATGGGAATTCTCGAGGAAGAGTGCGATGTGGAGGATATGACTTGACTCTACCATGGCAAGGGGTAAGAGGAAAGGTAAGATTCCTGCATATTATGATTATGATGATCATTAACTAATATGTGTCATTATGGTGCACTAGGATCCCATTAGGGTGGCTGGGCCCAGTGCATTTTCCTACTCGGTCTAGCATGTAATGATTTGGTGTAACCGGATTCTTGAGAAAGGACAGGTTACGTAAACATTTACTGATGTGGAGTAACTATACTATTTGTACTCTGATATGCAGGAAGGAAAGTGTTGATTAACACAGAAGAAAAAAAAAGCGAAATTAGCTGATTGCATGCTCATAAGTGCAAGCTGTCATTGAACTGCTTTTAAAATAGACACAGCTGGGTGTTTGTGTTGAAAAATTTCTTGTGTTTTTGCTAATACTGAAATAAGCATGATTTTGTATACCAAACATTTTCAGATCATTAAAATTTGTAATCTGTGCTGGTTTTAAACACAAAGAAAAGAAACAGATTCATTTCGCTGTAAAATTTGCTGATATTATATTAACTCAATCAGGTCTGTACAAATGGTGTATTGTGCCTTATCAAATCTCTTTGATCCATTTAATACACAAAGTGCCAAACGTGTGTATTGTTTGTTAACATTGAACGTTTTATTCAAATCCCAGCTCTGCAGCGAACTGGAGGAGTTCTCGTTTAATGTAACACTGGCATTGCCTGTTGAAATTTTAATGCGTTGAGGTGTTTCTTAGGTCAAAGCTGAGTTTACTTTGCGTTGTGATCAGGGATGAAAACGTAGCAGGGAAGAAAACAAACGTTTTATCTTTTTGCATTTCTGAGCAAAGGGCTAACACCGAAAGAAGCACGCTTTTAAAACATTTGATGATCTAGCTTTAACATCCAGTCATTTGTCACGGGTGCAGAATAAAGCTCTGTGCACAAACTTAGGATTTATATTATATTTTTTTTAATGCCATGGATATACAGTTCTACCAAAAAAGGGAATGTTGCATCCAATATGTAGTACATCGCTTTCTAAGCCCATGAAGATTAATTCACTGTTTACAGGACAGAAAAGGATATGTAAGAGAAGCCACGTCAATTATTATTTCTGCTGGACTTTAACTTTCGAGCCCCTCTATTTTTTTCTTCCGCAGAAAATTCTCCGTTTATAAGACTGGAGATATTTACTTTGGAAATGCAGGAGTCCTGCTCTAACGCCAAGACTCTGGCTCTGCCCTGGCCACGGCTCCTATTCACTTCAGTGGCAGCTTTGTGCGCCGTAGCGCTGCATGAGAGGTCGATTTGCCCCCTCAGCTCTGGCTAAACTCGAATTCTCCTAAAAAGGTCCCTCATGGCAGCATGTCCTAACAGGGAACCTTTCGTGGGGTGTCTGGAGAAGAAGCTTGTGCGTGGAAGGGAAGCGCACGGCCCCAAGCCTGCGAAACACGGGTGGGTGTGCAGAGGGGACCCGGCTCTCTGCAGAGCGGGGATGCTCCCTCACCTGCGCGCTTGCCTGCGGCGCGGACCCGCCTCGCTGAGCGGCAGGGACGGGCTGAGAGTGTCCAGTGCCGGGGTCAGGATGGGGGAGAAAAGCTCAGCTGAAACGTCCTGGCTGAAGTGCCATTCCATGGCGATCCCCGCGCAGTTCTTGGGTATAACTTGCAGGGACAGTGTTTCCACCGCACACTTTTCTCCCTCGTATTTTATTTATTTATTTATTTATTTAAAATTAAAGGTCAAAGGAAAAACACACCCTCTCCACTGTAAGCTCAATGGATATAGTGTTCCCTCGCCACCCCCCAGCTCCAGCCTTCAATCCCCCTTCACACGGGTATAGCGGCTCTGTACTCTCAGGCTCTTTCAAGGGGTTAAGCTGCTAAAATGTCCTGACAGCTTAAGAAATGAATGAGGATTTTTTTCAGCCATGAAGAAAGGGTATTTAATAACCACGCTTCGATGGCATCAT